AAGCTAGAAACAATGTAGATGAGACCAGTCACTCACTGTACTCCTAATCCCTAAGGGGAAATTGTTATAGGAGAAGAACAGTCAAAGTCCTGTAGTTGAAACAGATTTTCACATCTGTGGAAGACTACGCGGCTCTTATTTTTAAATGCAACATAAAACGTCTTCAAGTCAGGTAACTCAAATTATACCGGACAGCATGAAGAAAGGGAACAAACACAGTATCTAGCCCACCAGCATAATGTATTTTTCTACCCCACTCCTTCTCAATACCCAATGCCGCCCAAATATTGTAAGTATATTATATGACCTGTGATGCTTTACTGTCATTGTTACTCCTTAATGCAGACAAATGCATCTGTGCAAATGCTTACAGCTGCGGTATGATCAATGGTTACTACTTATGATAGCTGTATTACCTCTAGGATCAGAGGCAATATGCTTCTGAATACTAGAGCTGGGGACTGCAAGCAGGAGAGTGCTGCTGTGCCCATGTCCTGTTAGTGGGCTTCCCATAGACATCTGGCTGGCCACAGTGAGAACAGAATGCCGGACTAGGTTAGTCTGATACAGCAGGGCTGGTTTTATAGTCTTATGCTGGAGTACTTTCTGTCTCGCCAGAGTAGTGCATGCTCTGGTTATCTCCCACTTGGATTCCTGCAACACACTCTGTGTGGGGCTACCTTTGAAGGTGACCTGGAAACTACAACTAACCCAGAATGCAGCAGCTAGACTGGTGACTGGGAGTGCCTGCCGAGACCACATAACACTGGTCTTGAAAGACCTACATTGGCTCCCAGTACGTTTCCGAGCACAATTCAAAGTGTTGGTGGTGACCTTTAAAGCCCTAAATGGCCTCGGCCCAGTATACCTGAAGGAGCATCTCCACCCAATCATTCTGCTCAGACACTGAGGTCCAGCGCCAAAGGCCTTCTAGTGGTTCCTTCACAACAAGAAGTTAAGTTACAGGGAACCAGGCAGAGGGCCTTCTCGGTAGTGGCACCCGCCCTGTGGAACGCCCTCCCATCAGATGTCAAAGAAATAAACAACTACCTGAAGTTTAGAAGACATCTGAAGGCAGCCCTGTTTAGGGAAGTTTTTAACAGCTGATGTTTTAATGTATTTCTAATCTTTTGTTGGAAGCCACCCAGAGTGGCTGGGGAAACCCAGCCAGATGGGCGGTGTATAACGTATATAATAAATTATATTTATTATATACTAATATTATAAACGTATATAATATTATTATTATTATTATTATTATTATTATTATTATTATTATTATACTAGTGGCAAATGCCATGAAATGTTCTTTTACTATATTTCTTCAGGAAGCCTACTACCTCATCCTCATGATTCTATAGCATACTTTTACCTCCTTGAATTGTCAACATGTCAACACACTGTGAATCTCTATTTTGTTCCTATTGAAAAATACAGCAATATAACAGTATTATATGACATGCAACACAATAACTTTCCTAACCCGTGATAAAAAAGTGACACACATAAAGTCACTTGGGGGAAAAGTGAATGAGGAAGAAAAACAGGCAAACTGAATAAAGCAGTTGAAAATTACCTTTCTTAATTTTTGCACAAAGCTGTTATAATGTGGAAAGACAACTTGAGTAAGAATCTTTGGGGGTGGAAACAAATTGCAGAAAATGTTTAGAGCCATATATGCAATTTCTAAATCATTCTAATGAGCAGCTTCATATTTTATAAACCTTTGCTCTCTTGATGAAGAATTGCAGGCTGCATTATACTTTAAAGGAGGCAAGCAAAACAGCCTCTCGAGGCAACAGATGAATAAAAGATGATGTTTTCCCAAGGGAGAAGCATTAAGCACTTTATAGCACAACAAAACTGAAAAACCCCAAGCAAGGAAGGGGGACACAGCTGGAATTCAGCAGGGAGGAGACTGATATTAGTTTTGGCATCTGCATTATTTTAATTCCCATTGGGGTGCAAGCAGATCCATAGCATTTTATTGAAGGCAAACAAGGCAGGGCTGCATAGCTTCAACCAACCCCTCCCCCCCAAAAAAAGGCCAAGGTTCATCCCACAGATTCAAAGTAGGCTTGTCATCAAGCATACACACAACAGGAATCATTAGCCAATTCTTGACAACTGTATATGATACTGATGGTCCTCAATATTGTTATAGATCTAGGGTACCAGAGCCTGGTAGAAATTAATAAATGGTAGTATTTAGATAATATTTGGTATATGAAGGGAAATACAAGCTGTGCCAGACAGGAGATTTCTGGGTTATCTTATGCAAACCAGCCTGGTCAGTCTGGTTAAGCGCAGAGTCGTTAAGATACAATGGAGAACCAGGCACTGAGCCATTAATGTCCAGCTCTGAGGAGTGGACACAGAGAGGAGAATTGGCATGTTGCGGATTTCCGGAGGCGGCGCCATCGGCAATGGTGGATTCCCTCTAGTCTTGAGGGAGTAGCTCCGCGGAAATCGGGTCTTGCCACTATGGCGAAGCGGGGACCCCCTTGAAAATCACAGGCGGGTGAAGCCTGTGACCATGGGACTCGGCGGGCACCCTTAGCGCCCCCCCAATCTGCGAAGGAACCCTGGAAAGGGTTCTGGAGCGAAGCGGGGAGTCTGGCGCGGTGCTGAGAGTCAACTGCTTCTTCCGTGGAGTGAAGCCGCGCAGCTGTTGCCGGAGAGCGCCGACCTTTTTCCTGTGACAATTCGGCTAAGAAACAACTACCCGTGAGTAGGTTAAGTCTGAAGATCGGGAAACTTAAGGGGAAAAAAGATTAATTTGGCACTGAAGCAGGAAGGTGTAAACAGGAAGTCCGCCTTCCTTTTATGTAAATAGATCAAAGCAAAGACTGTCAAAGCAAAGAGCCTGAAAACTGCCTTGAAAAAGACTCAAATCTTACATCAACAAAAAGAGAATTCCCTCCCTGTGGTGCGGGGAGATGGTAGGGAGAAGGGGAAGTATCTTTTACCCGCAAAAGAAGAGAGAAAGGGAACTAAGACCACCACTTAATGCCTGGGAACGGACTGTCAAGGGACATTGAAACTGCCGTATTGGGAAACGCGCTGTTAAAGGACAATGTAACTTTTTGACAGCTAGCTCTGTAAGAGGGATATTTTGATTCTGAAAAGCCCTACTTGATTTGAAACTGTTGCTCTTTTTGACTAAAAGGGGGACTTTTGAAAGTTGGAATAGCTATTTTATTGCTACAAATTGGAACTGCTATTGTGTCCCCCTAGAGGAACTTTGAAATTACTACAATTGGCCAGGGAATTTTCCACTCTAAACTGGCCATACTAAAGGGGAATTTTCCAACATAAACAAGTAATCGTGGGACTGACCTTGATCCTTAGATAAAGTGTTGTGGCAGACTTGACTCAGGAAAAAACAACAAGATCTGGTAAAATTAGACTGCAGCAGCGTAGACCGTCAGCACCTGGCCTTCCTGCCCCACCAGGGGAAGATCCAGCCCAGATGGCATCTAAAGGAATGGCAGCTGAAGGGGGCCTAGCCTCAGCCTTAGATAAAATTTTTGAATCTTTGGAAAAGTTGAGCAAACAAGTGGCTGAGGCGACAACTAAAATTGATCAAAACACTACAAGCATCAATAACTTGGGGCAGAAGGTGAACTCAAATACAGAATCTATTGAGAAACTGCTGCAGGAATCTACTTCGAATCGAAAAACAGCTGAAGAAGCTAAGCAAAAAGCATTGGCTGTGGAGGAAAAGATAGAGGAAAAGATACCACCGATTTGTAGGCAGCTGGAGGATCATAAGTCATTGCTGTCTATGACTGAATTGAAAGAAAAACAGATAAATCTAAGGATCAGGGCTGTACCTGAACTTGAGAAAGATAACCTGAGTGACTTTCTTACGCAGGAATTTACAGACTTTTGGGACTTAGACCCAGACAAGTTAGACTTCAAGATAGTAAGTGCTTTCAGACTTGGAAGAGGGGGGAGAAAGAACAAGGTGAGAGACTGTTTGATTACCCTCCGATCAAGAGAGGAGAGAGACAGAATATTGAGCCTGCACTTCCAGAAGACCTTGGAAATAAAGGAATCAAGAGTGGAGATATTTAAGGATATCCCTAAACATCTTTTGGATCTCAGGTCTAACTACGGAGATTTGGTGGCCCTGCTGAGAGCAAATAGAACCATTTTTAGGTGGGAATTCCCTCAAGGCCTATCCTCTACTTTTAAAGGGAAAAAGTTTAAAATAAGATCAGTGGAAGATAAAGAAAAAATTCTGAAGGATCACGAAGAAGATTTGCAAAAAGAAACTGAAAAAGAGCCAAGAGCTTTAAAACCAGGAACACAGGACATAGTATCACTACCTTTGGGATTGGACAAGTTAGAGAAGGTGATACCACCGACAGAACAAGAACAACTACTTGGTGCAGTTGGAGGAAAAGTAAAATAAATACACCATGTCCCTGCAACTATTAAGTTGGAATATTCATGGATTTAATTCCCCGGAGAAAAGGAAAAAAGTCTTTCATTTATTGAAAAAGGAACAATTGGATTTGATTTGCTTGCAGGAAACACATGTGATAAGGCTCCATAGGAAAGTATTGATTAATAAAAGATTGGGTAAGGAGTTCATTTCATCGGACAAGGTTAAAAAGAGAGGAGTTTTATGCGAAAGAGAGCCTATCACCGAATTTATGCGAAAGAGAGCCTATCACCGAAATTTATTTTTAAAGATGACCAAGGAAGATATGTGGCAATTGAAATTCAAACACAAGGAGAAAAATTTCTGATAGTAGGAGTATATGCACCAAATGAGGGGAAATCTGAATTTTTTAAGAAGTTGCATGAGACATTGTTAGACTATATGGATTATAACATTATCATGATGGGAGATATGAATGGAGTGGTATCTACAAATATGGACAAGTCGCAGAGACAGGTAGTTACTAAAGATGACAGACTACCAAAAACCTTTTTTGAAATGACTGACAATATGGATTTGATTGACATTTGGAGAATAAAGAATCCCTTGGCTAGGGAGGGAACTTTCTTTTCTGAAGCCAAAATGACATGGACAAGAATTGACCAAATATGGATTACTAGAGGACTGGCACCTAAGACTCGAAAAGCGGAAATTTGCCCTAAAACCTGCTCCGACCATAATGCCGTGAAAATGGAGATGAAATTAACACCTACCGGCTCCTTCAGATGGAGGATGAATGACACCTTGTTTAGAGATCAAGAAGTTGTCAAGAAGGCCCAAAAAACCTTGAGAGACTACTTTGAGATAAATATGAATACTAGCATCGAAAAAAGAGTAATCTGGGATGCAAGTAAAGCAGTTATGAGAGGGTTTCTAATTCAACAGAATGCAATAAAGAAGAGAACTCAAAATGCGAAAAAAGATAAAATTTTGGAAAAAATAAAAGAGGGGGAGAAGAAACTGAGAGCGAAACCAAAATCAAAAGAGATTCTGAGAGAAATAAAGTTACACCAAGTTCAATATATGAAGATGATGAATCAGGAAATAGAATGGAAAATTAAACAGATGAAACAAAGGACATTTGAATCGGCTAATAAATGTGGAAAACTGCTAGCTTGGCAAATGAAAAAAAGACAAAAACTTAATACCATTACCAACTTGGAAGTGGAAGGAAAGAACATCCAGAATCCAGTGGAAATTAGAAAATGCTTCCAGAGGTACTTTAAACAACTATATACACAAGGGCCACAGAAAGAGTGTGATTTAGACAAATTTTTAAAAACAAATGGACTTCAAAAAATCTCCCAAGAAAATAAGTTAATGTTGAACTATAAAATAACAGAACAGGAGGTGGAAGGTGCCATTCAGAACATGCAGTTGGGCAAAACTCCAGGGCCAGATGGCTTAAGCTCAAAATATTATAGGTCCTTGAAGGATTGGATAATTCAACCATTAAAGGAGGTCTGCAACGAAATTTTGGAGGGGAAAAAAGCGCCAGAGTCGTGGAAGGAAGCTTATATTACACTAATACCGAAAAATGAGTCTGAAAAGACACAACTTAAGAACTACCGCCCCATATCCCTGCTTAATGCGGATTATAAAATTTTTGCAGATATTTTGGCTAAAAGGTTAAAAAAAGTATTAGTGGAGGAGATACATAAAGACCAAGCTGGCTTTCTCCCGGGTAGACACTTGTCTGACAATACGAGAAATATAATTAACATTTTGGAGATGTTACAAGTGAATATTAATACTAAAGCTGTTTTAATTTTTGTAGATGCGGAGAAAGCCTTCGACAATATTTCTTGGAGTTTCATGAAGAAAAACCTTCAGGGGATGGGGGTTGGTCAAGGGTTTGAAAATGGTATAAGTGCAATTTACTCAGAACAAAAGGCCAAACTAATAGTTAACAATGTGGTGACAGAGGAATTTAAGATAGAGAAAGGGACACGACAAGGCTGCCCAATTTCCCCATTGTTGTTTATTTCGGTCCTGGAGGTTTTGCTAAATATGATTAGAAGGGACCGTTTGATTAAAGGTATACAGGTCGGAGCTAAACAGTACAAATTGAAAGCTTTTGCAGATGATTTGGTATTGACGTTACAGGAGCCAGAATCTAGTACTAAAAGAGTATTAGAATTGATTCAGGAATTTGGTCATGTGGCAGGATTTAAGTTGAACAAGTTAAAAACTAAGGTGCTTGAGAAAAATCTAACACCGATTGAGAAAGAGAGGTTTCAGAAGGAGACAGGTTTAACATTGGTTAAGAAAGTAAAATACTTGGGGGTTAATATGACTGCTAAGAATTTAAACCTATTTAAAGACAATTATGAGAAATGTTGGTCAGAAGTCAAAAAGGATTTAGAGATATGGTCAAACTTGAAGCTTTCCTTGTTAGGCCGAATTGCTGTTATAAAGATGAATGTATTGCCAAGAATGTTATTTTTGTTTCAATCATTGCAAATTTTAGACAAAATGGATTGTTTCAAGAAGTGGCAGAGAGACATCTCTAGATTTGTCTGACAGGGCAAGAAGCCCAGAATAAAATTTAAAATATTAACTGATGCAAAGGACAGAGGCGGATTTGCCCTGCCAGACCTTAAACTTTATTATGAATCAGCAGCATTCTGCTGGTTGAAAGAATGGCTGCTTCTTGAGAACACAGACATTTTGGACCTAGAAGGTTTCAACAATGTTTTTGGGTGGCATGCATATTTGTGGTATGACAAGGTTAAAGCACATAAAGCATTTAAAAACCATATTGTCAGGAAAGCATTGCTAAATGTCTGGATAAGATATAAGGACTTACTTGAAAATAAAACCCCAAGGTGGTTGTCACCGATGGAAGCAAAGGCACAGAAAAGGCTCAATATGGAGGTCAAATGGCCGAAATATTGGGAAATTTTGGAACAAGAAGGAGACAAACTGAAATTGCAGAGTTTCGAGAAATTAAAAAACAAAGTGCGAGATTGGCTTCATTATTATCAGATAATGGAGGCATACAATTTGGATAAGAAAATTGGCTTCCAGATGGAAAAATCAAAACTAGAAACAGAACTGTTAGAACCCAAAACTAAGAATTTGTCAAGAATGTATAACTTGCTGTTGAAATGGAATACTCAGGATGAAACTGTGAAATCTGCTATGATTAAATGGGCACAAGATGTTGGACATAATATTATGTTTGCTGACTGGGAACAGTTATGGACCACAGGTATGAAGTTTACGGCATGTAATGCCCTAAGAGAGAATATTATGAAAATGATATACAGGTGGTACATGACCCCAGTCAAGCTTGCAAAAAATCTATCATTTGCCCGATAACAAATGCTGGAAATGTAAAGAAACAGAAGGTACATTCTTTCATCTTTGGTGGACGTGCCCAAGGATTAAGGCTTTCTGGGAGATGATCTATAATGAATTGAAAAAGGTATTTAAATATACCTTCTTGAAGAAACCAGAGGCCTTTCTCCTGGGCATAGTCGGCCAATTGGTGTCAAAGAAGGACAGAACTTTCTTTATGTATGCCACAACAGCAGCAAGAATACTAATCGCAAAGTATTGGAAGACACAAGATCTACCCACCTTGGAAGAATGGCAGATGAAGGTGATAGACTACATGGAATTGGCAGAAATGACTGGCAGAATCCGAGACCAGGGAGAAGAGTCGGTGGAAGAAGATTGGAAAAAGTTCAAAGACTATTTACAGAAATATTGTAAAATTAATGAATGTTAGAATGATGTTGGATAGAAATTAAGTGGTTTTTAGCTGTAATGTTATAAGGGAATATGAAAAATGGATTATTATCAGGCAAAAATCTAAGGTTATAATATTTTAAGATTGAAGATTAGGATTAACAAAGAGGGGAGGGATTTGCTGAACTAACAAACCGAATTGGAATACAGAAAAGGGAGGCGTGAGGAGGTCCGGGAAATAAGCAAATGAAAGATAAGTGATTGAAAGACCGAATTGTTTTTAACTACTTTTATTTTGTATTTTTCTTTTATATTCTTCTTTTTTCTTTTTCTATGTTGTAATATTTTGAAAATCTTAATAAATATCTGATAAAAAAAAGAGAATTGGCATGTTGCCAAGGTGACGTCTGTGTGTGTGTGTGTGTGTGTGTGTGTGATGATGCCACAGGAACAGAAGTAAAACTTTGGAAAGAGAGACACTGCAAAGAAATCTACTCTTCCTTACTCCCTGTTGTTCAAACACAATTCAATTGATTCTGGCTTCTAAATTTAGAACACAGTAAGCTCAGTGATTTTTATGAAAGCAAATGAATGCATAATCATAGTCAGGTACACACAAAATTGAATTACAATCTCAATATTTGCTATGGTACTGATTTACGTTTGTCAAACTGGTATGCTTAATTGCAGTTCCAATATTATAATAGGGTGCCTATGAACATTCCTTATACCTTGGGTAAATATAACAGCTCACTTTGAATCACGTTTAAAATGAATAGAGAAATGTGAGCAAAACATCCACCAAAAAGACTGAGCAACCCAAACTAGGGAATTGTATCTTGACCACTTAATGTAGCATGAAGGTCCCAAAGGGCACAGCCATACAAATGCTTTTCAGCACTTTCAGATAAGCAGGTGATGCATTTCCAGATAAGCAAGGCTAAAGAAGCTTTGACTCTGCAGACAGCTTGCCTAGACCTTTAAGTCCCAATATATTCATGAGAAACTGATCTCCCTAATCTCCCCATATAAAAACTGTCACTCTTGTAGCTGTTGCCTCCTTCTGATAAACTGTTTCAGAAGTGAGTATCAGCAATAATTTTCCAAGTGGAAACTTACTAGAGCATGCAAACAACTTCCTGCTGAGCTGACCAGCTATATTTCCCCCATCAAAGTTCCCCACACCTTTGCTTCCCCAGATTTCATATGAGGTGCAGGTGTATGGTAGATTTTTTTATCACTATTGACGGAACAATGCAGATGAAACCTTACCAAGTGGTTGCACGCACTGCATGGCAAATCACCACTAGGTAAATTATTCCTTCATAACCACCCAATCATCCACAAGGGGACTCTTTCTTTCAGTTCTCCAGTGAACTGATCAAAATGTATTTAATTGATGGGATGGACAGTCTATTTCAATAAATTAGTAATTTAATTTTTTTTAAAAAAAAGGATAGACAAAGGTATGAAGGAATACAGAAAGAGCAGGCACATGTTGGTCAACATAAGGTAAGTCAGGGCTGTCTTAAGCATATGCGGCACTAGGGTGCAAAGATCCACCCAGTGCCCCCCCCGGTTGTCCAGTCCCAGGCGCGCAGGAGGGTGGGGCTGGCCAGCCACCTCAGCGTCTAGCTAGCTTGGTCGCCCCTGAACTCACTGCGCAGAGCCATCTGCAGCAGAAGAGCCCACCGCGGCGCTCCGACCGATGGGTGGGCTCTTCCCCGGACTCAACTCTCAGGCCCTGAACTCTCGGCCTGGTGCCCCTGAGAGCCCAGCACCCGGGTGCCCCGCACCCCTAGCGCTTATGGGTAAGACGGCCCTGAGGGAAGTGGAGCCTCCATCAGCTGTACCAAGATGGCAGTTCCATCAGAGTCCTCTCTCCATCAGCTGATACCTAGCAACGGCCATCACATCAGGTTGTAGCAGAGGGAGAGAATCAAAGCAAGCCAATGTTGATGATTATATTTATATTTATTTACATCCCACCTTTTCCCCAGACAGGGACTCAAGGCGGCTTACAGATAAATTGGAAAAGCTAAAAAGATAGCAAAGATAATCATTAAAAAGTAATTAAAAGCTAATAGAATTAAAATCATATAAAAAGATCTATTTAAAAAATAGAGAACAAGAAGCAGCAGAAGCAGAAACAAAACAAAACAAAACATCACAGCACTAGGCCTTTCCAGTCATTTTAGCATCATCATCATCATCATAAT